GGGTGACCCACAGATCTTCCAGAAGTTCCCTGAGCCTCGGCCCCTCCTGCTGAAGGTATCGGTCCCCGAGGCTCCAACCGTGAAGCTCCAGAAGGACATGGGCTTGATTAAACTTCAAGCCGCTTCAGAAATCTTGGCCGTGGAGCCCGATGGCACTGAGAAGTCTCTCTGCATCCTGAGCATTGTGAGTATGAAGGCTGTGACATTCCGCAAACCATCATTCCTCAAAGTTCCTTTTGCTTGATAACATGGGAGCAAGGTGGCAAGCCGAAATTTCACCCAGGACCGTAAAAAGACTCTGTCAGGGTAATGATTTAACCAGCCGATGTAATGTAAGGTGGATGATGCAATGATAAGAATGACTCAGCAGGGTCTGTGTCTCTTTAAGAGCCTGAGTATAAAAGGGAAGGCTTTTGCTGGAGTGTCTCTCTCTCTCTCTCTCGTCCGTTTCCTGTTGCAATTGCTGTGTGTTGGAGTTTGCTGCATTACCACGTGTATGTATATTGTTCCTGGTGTATATTGTAGATAGTGTAATATAAACCACCATTTAATATAGGCCGCTGTTTACTGTATTCACTCCTGGGTTATCTCAGGGCAATAAGACTGTTCATGCTCTCACAGACTTGATTGTCTGAGTCATGTTGCAAGTAGTCCTCGAACTTATGACCGCTTGCTTAGTGACTTCTTCAGGTTCCAACGGATCTATTTGGGGAATGCTTATGACCGAGAGTCAAAGGTCCCATGGTCAGCCACCCGCCACATAGTCATGTGACCGTCATCTGGGCACCCGCCAACAGCTAGGGCAAAATTGCCCACTTGAGGGGGAAAAAAACACAATAAAGATGCTTTTTGGAAAAAGCACCTTTGCGATATGGTCAAGATGGGTCCACTTTTGTCTTTCTAGGATGCTTCTTTGCTGGCCAAATTCTCTGTTGAGGACAACAAGCTAAAAATCAGTGCTCAGCTGGACAAGTAAGTCAATTATTATTATTATTATTTCCCATTGTCTATGTCAGAGGTCCCCAACCTATGGGCCGTGGCCCACTACCAGTCCATGGCCTCTTGGGTCACTAAATGTTTCATAAAATCTGCAAATTTCCAATCCCACGGGAGTCCCCGGGCTCCCGATTTGGTAAGCTAGTCCGTTTGAAGTGTTTTGGTTGAAAGACTGTCGCCCTAAAATACACCCACCATTTTGTCCCGTTAAAGATTACACACAAATAGTAACGTTTTAGTAATATGTAAGTGCTTCTCTGCCTCCTTCCCTCTCTCTCTCCCTCCACCTTACTTCCTTCCCCTCCATGTTATTTCCTTCCTTCCTTCCCTCTCTCTATCCTTCCCTTCCTTCGTTTGCTTCCTTCCTTCTCTTTCCTTCTTTCCTTTCCTTTCTTCCTTCCTTCCCTCCTTCCCTCCATGTTATTTCCTTCCTTCTTTCCTTCCATCCATCCTTCCATCCTTCCCTCTCTCTATCCTTCCCTCCCTTCGTTTTCTTCCTCTTTCCTTTCCTTTTTTCCTTCCTTCCTTCCTTCTCTACCCTCCCTCCCTCCTTCCCTTCCTTTGTTTCCTTCCTTCCTTCCTTCCCTCTCTCTCTATCCTCCCTCCTTCCCTTCCTTTCCTTTCCTTTCCTTCCTTCCTTCCCTGCTTCCTTCCTTCCTTCCCACCTTCCCTCTCTCTCTATCCTTCTACCTTTCCTTTCCTTTCCCTTCCTTCCTTCCTTCCTTCTCTCTATCCTCCTTCCCCCTTTCCCTCCCTCTCTTCCTCCCTTTCTCCCAGTCCAACACAGCTCCCCGGTGAGACCCCTCCGTCTTCTCACTCCCCTTCCCTTTTTGTTCCTGCAGGTCTCGGATCAAGCTGGATTCCTCCAACGTTGGAAAATTTGACGTAAGAATAAACTTTGCTTCTTGGCTGGGGAGATGGGAAAGGCAGCGCCTCTTTTGGGTGGATGAAGAGGTCAACGCAACCTTCATCCCCCATGACTTCACGGACAGCTCCGTGGACGTGACCCTGAGGTTGCCCTCTGCCGGGACTTGAAGTCAGGCCATTCTCCTCTGGGCCTTTGGCCAACTCTCAGCTGAAGGGGTCTCCAACAACCCTTGAGTTGGCGAGAAACCCACGCTAGCACAGCACGTTCCGTTGCCCCATCGCCAGTTTAATCACCCTTAAAACTCAATGAGGAAGCTAGATGGACTTTACAACCATTTGTAAAGGAAAACTCAATCATGCCTCAAAGACTCAACATGGACACGCAAATGTGGAATCTTCTCTTCTTGTTGTGCCATATCCGTTATCGGACGTTGGCGATCATGTTGGTGATCCTGTTTTTATTAGCAGCCGCACGAAAAAGTGCTGCTGAGTTTGGTCCAAACCGGTCCCTTAGATTTTGAAGCCACGATGTTCTTCTTCTGCCTGGACTTCTTTTGCCTTCGATCTTTCCCTGGAGGATTAAATGGAGTATGCTGTATTTTTCTGGGTGTCGCATCACATGTCCAAAATATTCTAACTTTCGTTTTTTAATTGTGTTGATGATTTCCCTTGGCTTTCCCAGGCGGCTTATCCCCTCCTCATTTCTGGTCTTGTCAGCCGCTTGTAAATCCACATTTCAAATGCTTCTCGTCTCTTCCGGTGGCCTTCTGTCAGAGACCGACTCTCTACTCCATAGAGCAGGATAGAAAAAATACAGCATCTGACAAGCCTGATTTTCAGTCTTAGGCTTATGTCATGACTGCAGAAGACCTTTTTCATTTTGAAGAATGCTGTTCGATGTGGAATAGGACCTAGCAATGGTCTTATTTCAGCAATGTGTCTTAGAGGTTATGAAGTTTGGAAAAAATTCAGAGAAGAGCACCAGATGGGTGCTCCATCACTGGAGTTTTTTAAAGAAGAAATTGGACAAACATTGGTCTGAGATGGTATAGGGTTTGTTGCCTGAGTAGGGGGTTGGACTAGAAGATCTCCAAGGTCCCTTCCAACTATTCTATTCTATTCTATTCTATTCTATTCTATTCTATTCTATTCTATTCTATTCTATTCTATTCTATTCTATTTCCTATTTTCTATTCTATTCTATTCCCTATTTTCTATTCTATTCTATTCTATTCTATTCTATTCTATTCTATTCTATTCTATTTCCTATTTTCTATTCTATTCTATTCCCTATTTTCTATTCTATTCTATTCTATTCTATTCTATTCTATTCTATTTTACAATCTGTTCTGTTCTATTCTATTATATTCTATTATGTAATTCTATTCTATTCTACTCTACTCTACTATACTCTATTCTGTTCTATTCTATTCTGTTCTATTATGTAATTCTATTCTACTCTACTCTACTCTACTCTACTCTGTTCTGTTCTATTCTATTCTATTCTATTCTATTCTATTCTATTCTATTCTATTCTATTCTATTCTATTATGTAATTCTATTCTACTCTACTCTACTCTACTCTACTCTACTCTACTCTACTCTACTCTACTCTACTCTATTCTATTCTATTCTAAAGGTCAATTTTGGATTCTAAGAATGTTTGCAACCCAGAGTCCTTTCTGCATTCAGTTCAACAACTGCACGGTGGGCTCATGACAGCAAATCAAGGGAAACCTCAATTGTCTCCACACATTCCGCCCCCCCTTGGATGAGTTGAGGGCATTAAAATGTGTTTTTTCCCCTGCTGGACACAGGTGTCCCTGATGGAGGGGCTGGTCGGGAAGATCTTTGAAGTAGCCTTCCTTCCTGCCATGAACGGTAAGAGAATTCCAGAACTTCTTTGAGAGTCTTCAACTCTTGTGTTTCTCAACCTGGACAACTGCCAGAGGTGTGGACTTCAACTCCCAGGATCCTCTGCCACAGCAAATGTTGGCTAGAGAATTCTGGGAGGAGATAGCCCACACCTCTGGAAGCTGCCCAGCTTGGCCAACAGGATTCTGGATACTTTACGGACAATGGAGGGATGATGAGCTGTTGGTGGCTGCCCTTGTTTGCATCAACCTACATGCTAAATGATGAACACAAGAGTCCATCTTGTCTATTCCCCGTGTCTTTGCCTTCTCATTGTCTCACCCAGTGGTGGGATTCAAATAGTTGAACAACCGGTTCTCTGCGTGGATGCCGCTTCCAGAATCCTGTTCTGGGCCTGGGCAACAAAAATTAGTTACTGGTTCTGCCGAAGTGGTGCGGACTGGCTGAATCCCACCACTGGATAGATAGATAGATAGATAGATAGATAGATAGATAGATAGATAGATAGATAGATAGATAGATAGATAGATAGAT